TCCAAGACTAACGTGTAGCATTAATCTCTATTATTACTATTTTATTTTGTGTGTGGGTGGGTGGGTTATTTGTTCATTTATCATAGGCATCTTTTTAAACAATTTTAATTAAATTTTCTGTTTTACAGTTTAGAATATTCATTTAAACAACCTTAAAATATCAAAAACTTCTCTTCTTCTCTTTCCAAGGTTCATTTTGCATAACATAAATCTCTGCATATTTTATATAAACTAAACCGTTCAGTATTCCATTATTACAGTCTTCCTCAGCCTCGGCCCTCCAGATGTTTTGGGACTACTGGTCCTGCTAGCTAGCGATCATGGGAGTTGTAGGCCAAAAACATCTGGAGGGCAGAGGTTGAGGAAACTTGCATTATTACATCCATCAAAACTTGTTTACACTCTTGCATTTATCTTAATGCTGCCAACATTTTCAAGTTTAGACAATTCCCCCCCCCATACATTCAATAAACATTTTCCAATCTTCTCTAAGCGTATGTTATTCTTGTTCTCTTATTCTATATGTTAGGTCTGCAAACTGCACATATTCTATCAGTTTAAGTTGGCATTCTTCTTTAGTTGGGACCTCGTTCGTTTTCCATTTTGGGGCCAACAAAACATGGGCCACAGTAGCGGCATACATAAAAAAACCTTTTTTAACACCTGGAAATTTTCATCTGAATTATCTCCAACAAACAGGACTCAAAAAGGGAACCTTTTTTTCAGCTGCACCATATGGTCCATGGTAAATCCAGCAATGGCGAAATTCTGTGGTGCCCTCTTCCTTTGATGCCCTAAGCACATGATTATTTTGCTTAACGGTTAATCCAGCCCTGGCTCTTGGGTTCATAATCTAAGCAGACACAGCACATGAGGAAGATGGAACTTGAGGGAGGAGGAAAAAGCAAAGCTCAAGTGCAAGTCCTTAAAGTTACAACCAGCATCATTGGCAGTTTCTACCTGTCTCGCTCTTGATAATGGAATTTGGGAAACTGGCCTTAAGTGAACCCACGCAACACTTTAGACCAGCCTTTCTCAACCTGTGGGTCCCCAGATGTTGATGAACTACAACTCCCATCACCCCTAGCTAGCAAGGCCAGAGCTCAGGGATGATGGGAGTTGTAGTCCAACAACATCTGGGGACCCACAGGTTGAGAACCGCTGCTTTAGACATCTGTCACACTCTCATGTGACCAGCGTCAGCACCCAGGCAAGAGCAAGGAGAGAATGCGGATGGATGATTTTTCATTTTCCCAATCTTAAATTTAGCTCTTCATGCCTCTTCAGCAATTTAGGGGTGGGGGGAGTAGTGATGAATATTTATTTAGGGGTGGGGGGAGTAGTGATGAATATTTGCCAGTGTTTTAGAATGAATTTCTCTGAATATAAATATTTTTGTGCACTGTTTTGACTAATACACATATTTTCCATGCAATTTTACCCTATATATTGCATTTTTTTACTGTGTTTTTGTACGGCATCCATTTTCATGCATCCATTCCCATCATGATTCGCTTGTAGAAGCATAAGAAAAGTCTGGCTGGGTCAGGCTGATGCCCCAACAATGTATATATCCCTAAGATATATACATTGTGTACACATTGTGTGGCTCGGTTGCAAAGTTCAGAGAAGGGCAAATTTTGGTGAGCATTTGGTTTCAGTTCGTTTGCTAATCAAGAAGTGCAGATTAGGTGATTTCGCACTGAAACGAAAACAAAAGCCAGTCCCCCCCCCCCCCGTCCCTAGGAAAGAAACACAGATTAGGTCCTCAACGATTCCCATTGAATTCTATGGGACAAGATGCCGTTCTGCCGCACGCTCCTTCAAATGATGGCTTTTTAGCAGAACGCCCTTCCCTTCAAACTGTGATGTTGCCATCATGAAAAGTGTATTCAGCAGCACTGTCTCCAAGATACAATTTATGACTAACAGGCCTAAGTAGGCCTCCAGGCAGCCTTTGATGATGGCATCAAGCACTTTAGGCTCCTTGAGGGAAAGTGAAGAGTGAGAATCTGGGCGTGGAGGAATTCCATTCCCTACTTCCCATCATGATTCGCTTGTAGAAGCATAAGAAAAGTCTGGCTGGGTCAGGCTGATGCCCCAACTATTCCAGCATCTTCTTCTCATTGATGCCCCGATGGGGAAGCCCAGAAGAAGGGTCCGAGAGCAACAGCAACTCTCCCCAGTGGAGGATAAACACTGTCTCACCAGAGTGTCTGCTTGGACTACTGCAATGCGCTCTACGTGGGGCTACTTTGAAGAGCCCCTGCCAATCAGGGTCATACTGAGCGGACTGGACCCATAGCCTGACCTGTGTTCAGGGCCATCTTTACACGGGGGTGCAAGTGGTGCAGTGCACCCGGGTGCCGAATTCTGAGGGGCACCCACAGCTGAAGCCACCTAAGCTCTTAACCGCGACCCCCATGTGATTGCGGTTGATGGGCCATTTCCGGTCTCTTTTTGGACTCACAGCTGTCCATGGAGGCGCAGGTCAGTTCTGTGTCCAGGGCAGTTGTCTACCAGCTCCATCTGGTACGCAGGATGAGACCCTCCCTGCCTGCAGACTGTTTCGCCAGAGTGGTGCATGCTCTGGTTATCTCCCGCTTGGACTACTGCCATGCGCTCTGTGTGGGGCTACCTTTGAAGGTGACTCAGAAACTACAACTAATCCAGAATGTAGCAGAATGCCCGGACACTGAGGTCCAGCTCTGAGGGCCTTCTGACGGTTCCCTCACTGCGAGAAGTGAGGTTATAGGGAACCAGGCAACAGAGGGCCTTCTCGGTAGTGGCACCCACCCTGTGGAGCACCCTCCCAAGAAGATAAGTAACTATATAACTTTAGAAGACATCTGAAGGCAGCGCTGTATTTGGAAGTTTTTTAAGGTGTAATGTTTTATTATGTTCTTGTAGATGTTGGAAGCCACCCAGAGTGGTTGGAGCCGCCCAGTCAGATGGGCAGAGTACAAATGATATTATTATTATTATTATTATTATTATTATTATTATTACTATTTGTTCTGGGAAGAACAGATCCGTTTATCCCCAGCCCTTGTCACTTTTGCAAATGTTTATTCATAAATCCATCTGACTCATTTGATCTTTAAGCACCTTTCTTCCTTGCAATGCTTGCTGTATGCGGTTACCCTCCAAATGTTCTAGTTACAGGTAGGTAACCCTGTTGGTCTGCCGTAGTTGAAACAAAATAAAAAAAATTCCTTCCAGTAGCACCTTAGAGACCAACTAAATGTTGTTGAACTCTAGTTCTCGCCAGCCCTAGAGTGGACAATGCCTAAGGATGGGAGCTTATTGTTATTTATATCATTATCAGCCTTATCCTCCATCAATTTGTCTAATCCTCTTTAAAAGCCACCCACATTTGGTGATGATTATTGTCATGGGGGTGCTGGTTGGAATGTGGCCCTCCCGGCCCTTATACCTGGCCCTCAGAATTCTCCCCAGGCCACACTCCTCACTGGCCCTGCTTCTGCAGCTGGGGGGGTTTCGCCTGGCTGGAAGGTTTCCTCTTACTTGTCTGGATGGAGAATAGAGGAAGGGAAGTGTGGGCAGGGACGATTTACTGCACAAATGCAAAATTTGCATATGTAGCTCCGCCCACTTTTGCCTCTGGTCCCGCCCAGCACTGAACACGCCATTCCCAGAAGGGACTGTATCCCTCAGGCTGAAAAGGGTTTCCCACCCTAATCTTGGGAGACCTGAAACTGCACACCTCCTCCTCCTGAGGAAACCGTAAGAAATTCCACCTTTTCATATATTGCAATTGAGCGAATAGAAAGTACCACTCATTGTTTGAAAGGAAGTTTGTCTTTATTGCTTTGCAGTAACACACCAGAACCCAAATTCCCTTAAGCAATGAAAAATAGTCCGCAGAGCCCCACAGATTACAGCATATTCCCCCTACACACACAAACACACTGATAAAGCAACAAAGATATTACTCAACTGATCTATGGATTCTTTATCACGCTTATCACACTTTATCACACTTAGGGAAGCTTCTAATGTTTAATAGGTTATTGTATTTTAAAATTCTGTTGGAAGCCGCCCAGAGAGACAGGGACTGGCCCATGGTGACCCAGTGAGCTTCATGAATGAGTTGGGGATTGGAACCTTGGTCTCTCAGGTCCAACACTCTAACCACTACACCACATCTCTTGCCTTTAGAGGCAGAGAGAGAAGCAGGGAACATGCTGCGCCTGAAATAATCTAAGACTAAGAAGCTGACCCAGGAAGGGGACAAAGGATTGCCCACCCAATCAGGAAGAAGGCTAAGCAGGAGGCCAATGAGAGGCCGCAGAAAAGTGATTTGAAGTCAGAGAAGCCATTGAGGATTTGCATACTTTTTTTAAGAAGTCTGTTGAACTGAACTCATTTAATTTTTTCTACCCATTACAGGCCCTGTTTTCCTCGAAAATTTACTTTAGGATGTTCCATGCAGGGAGGAAGGAAGAATGCCTCATTTAATTAAAAAGGACAGGATTGCCTTTCATGATGTACATCAGGGGTGGCAAGTATGTGGCCATTCAGATATTCCTGGACTGCTGTTCCCATCATCCTTGGCCACTGACCAGGCCGGCTGGGCACCAGAGTTCCTTCTCCTAATCCAAGAAAATACCTTCCCCTTGTCCCATGAGATGTTGAAAAACCCCAACTCTGATCAACCCTGACATTAGGTGGCTGGGGCAGGTGGGAGTTGGTGTCTGACAACATCTGGAGGTTCCCTGTGATATATAAGGATGTTCTGGATTAAAGATCGCTCGAGAACTGTTCAACATTAAACCATGCCATCAGCTGTATACGCACCATATATTCAAAGCACATTTCTCCCGGCCACAAAGAATTCTGGGATCTGTAGTTTACCCCCTCACAAGGTTACAATTCCCAGCATCCTCAACAAACTAGTTCCCAGGGTTCTTTGGAGAAGAACGTGCTTTGAACGTATGGTGTTTATGCAGCCATCGTCGCTAGCCAGAATGACACCCTTAGTTACAAGAAAATGCACAAGACTGGGTGTGACGTGGCTTGGAGACACGTCGATTGCCCGCTCTAGATTCACAACTGCGTTCTTCTGGGTCATGTAAATCTTGCCTCCTGTTCTCCCTCTCTCTGGATTCAGAGTCGCAGCGGTGGGGTCTACGCTGTTGAGATGCTCCATGCTCTAGCCCAGGAGAAACGGCCCTTCTCCTCTGACTTTCCCTGGGGTCATCTTCACGTGCCTGGACTCTCCTTTGGTCGGCATCTGCATCACCAGAGCTCCGTGATGGGCCTCTCCTCTGCTGTTCACTGATTCTCTGGTCCATTCCTCTTCTCCTGGGCTCAACATCTCCAACATCATCAGCACAAGACTGGGCCCTCCTCTGCTGTTGACTATCCCTTCGGTCAGTGTCATGGGACCAATTCCTCCTTTGGTCACCTTGCCTTGTCTCACCATCACGTCTCAGGGTCTGGCTTCTCTCACGGTCCCTTTGTTCAGTATCACGGCACCGGGCTCGCCTATGCTGCTCTCTTGGGTCAACCTCCCGAGTCTGGCATCTCCTCCCGTCAACACCTATTGAGTCAGTGTCACATGATCTCTGGGGTCTGCTCCCTTCTTGCTCTCTGGCTCCTGGGGTGCAATACCTTTGCCCCCTCTCCTCATAATCCTCAGGTTCACGTCGCTGACGTGGTCTCCTCTCGCTTTCCCGGGGCTCAGACTCGTATTCCTGTCGCCTGCCCCGATCGCACTCTCTTCGGCCACCCACTGATGAGTAGTACCTGTCTTCTTCTCTGGGTCTGGAAAGGGATTGTCTTGCCTGGGGCCTCTCCCTCTCATCATCACTGAAGTCAGCCTCCTCAGGTCTCCTTCTCTCATCTTCCCAGGACTCAGAATAATGTGACTGTGGCCTGTTTCTTCTGCTTTCTAGGGTCTCAGAGTCATAACACTGCTGCCTCCCTCGTCTACCCTCTCGTCGAGCAGATTCTTGGGCTTCAGGCATCCTCCTCTCAACATCTCTGTCCAAAAGCTCAGAGTCATAATACTGCTGCCGCCTCTGACCATCACCTCTTGGTTCTCTTTCATGTCTTTGAGGCCTGCAGGATTCATAGTCACGAGGTTCAAGGTCACCAGACAGGGGTCTCCTCCTCCTCAGATTCTCCTCCTCTTGGGCCTCATCCTGATGGCACTCCTCCCATCCCCAGCCATCCTCTTCTGGTGTTTGTGCATGTCTTTGGGACCTTCTCCAGTCACCCTCTCTGGGCTCATACTCACAAGACTGGGGCCTTCTCCTCTCACCATCTGCAGGTTCACATTCAGATGGATGGAGCCCAGTCCTCTGACGCTCTCTGCATTCTAGAACACGAGACCATCGCTGGTCCTCCACCTCTGCTCTTGTGGTTGGCTCACATGGATAAGGTCTGGTCCTATCGTCTTGATCCACAGGCTGGCGTCTCCTTCGTTCAGATTCTCTTACATCATGTTCACGGAGCTCAGCCTCTCTGGATTGAGGTCTGTACTGACCCTGGCTTCTCCGCTCATCCATTCTGCAGTCAGACATGGATCTCTCAATGTGTTCTGCATCACACCTCTGAGACCTTCTCTGCTCACATTCTGGATCACAGGACAAAGATCTCCTCTCTCCATCTCTGGGAAATGAGTGGGACTCATCATCACAATCTACTGGTTTACGATCAGATCTTTGGTCCCAGCACTCATTAGCTACACGCTGGTCACGTCTGCGGGACCTTCGCTCATCTTCACATACGTAATCCTCTCTCCCTCCATCTTCCAGTTCTTGGGGTTCACAAGATGGGCGAGATCTTCCATAATCAGATCTGATTCCTTGTGCTGCACACCGGCGGGTGTGGCTTTCTTCACCCACCTGCCGTCCAGACACACGTGGCCTTCTCAGGTCCTCTTCCTCTTCCATTTGACACTCAGTCACTTTTGGTTGACGTCGCCTCTCATCTTCTCCTCTTTGAGTGGCCTCTTGGGAATGTCGCTGTCTGTTGCCTCCTCCCCGTGGCAGAGGCCCACGTGGAAGACAATCTCTTTGATCATAATCTCTCTCCCATGACTGGCGCTGATGGTCCTCTTCCCTTGATGGTTCTCTGCGTCTTAGTTGACGACGGCCAGCTTCATCCCTTCGTGACTCACACTCATGAGTCTGCTGGCAGGTCTCCACTTCTCCCTGCTCATCAGACCCACGTGGCCGGTCCTCACAGTCATCTTCCCATTCCTGAGTCTCGCGGGATGGACGGTGCCTCCCACAATCATCCCTCAACTCCTGATCACGAGCTTGGGATGGACGGTGCCTCCCACAATCATCCCTCAACTCCTGATCACGAGCTTGGGATGGACGGTACCTCCCACAATCATCCCTCAACTCCTGATCACGAGCTTGGCGGCTCCTCTGATCTGATCGGGCAACAGGCTCCTGTGGAAAGTGATCTCTTCTCCCCTCACGTCTAGTGGCACCTTCCTGTTGACGAAGTCGTGGGCGGTCAGAGTCTCGTTGCTCACAGACATAGCCCCCTTCCCTTTCAGCCTCCCGTAGCTGGCGGTGGTCTCGTCCTTCCCCTCGAAGTTCATCTTCATGTGGGGCTCTGCGGGCTTCTCCCCGCTGAACGCGGCGTTCTCTGGGCTGCAGGTGGCTGTCGCAGGCCTTGGCAACTCTGAAGATGAGGAACAGGTACTCATTGAAGTCCACCAAGCAGTCCTTATTGACATCCAGAAGCTGGAAGGTCAGCTCGAGTGTCTCAGGATCATGAGGGTTCTGAAGAATGAGGAAAGCACAAAGAGTGAACCTTCAGCTTCATTTAGATGCTGTACATCAGAAGCAGCCCTAGTTGTCTTCTACCTGGTCTCTGGCAGGCAGTGGAGGCTGCAAATAGGGGAACTGCCCCACCAACCTCAGCCAGTCCCCACCCAACTCTTTTTGACTTATAATCCTTCCAAGGAGTTGTCCGATCTGTTAGGGCCCTCCTGTATTTTTCTCAGCACACAATTAATTGCCTCTGCCTACTATTGGCTCTGGTGCCACCTCCTGTTGGTCTCCCTGCCTTCAACCCTACCAGTCTCCTTGGGTAGCACCCACCGCTGCTTGTAAGAGTGTCCAGCCCCAGACCCCCCTCATCCTTCGCTGCTTGTTCCCCATCGCAGCTTCCACTCACCTCTATGACCCCGGCAAATTCCTCCTGGAGAAGCGTTTTCATCTCCCTCCTGGTCAGGGCAGAGCAGTTTCCACGTTGCTTGGCGTGCTTGTAAAAGACACCCATGATGGTGCACATTTTGTCCAGGAGATGAGCCATCTTTCAGAAGGTTCTGCTGGGACCTGTTGGGGTAACAGCTGTGGTTAGCACAGGGCCAATGTCTCCGTGGACTGTAATGTTTCCAAGCTGCTTCCTCAACTGAAAACATCTTTTTTTTTTAATGAGAAATGTGATTTGGAAGGTGTTTCCTTTATCCTTCATGCAGGATGCAATGCTAAAAGCACATTAGGAGAGACGTTTATCCCTCTCCTTCTTGCAGTGTGGAATCCCTCTTCTAAGATCATAGAAGAGCCCCATGCTCATTTTATTCATTTAAGACATTTATATACCACGTATATAAAGGAGTGCACCTTAAAAAGCAGAGCTATCACCTTGCCAACAAAGGGCCGTTTAGTTAAAGCTCTGGTTTTCCCAGTAGTGATGTATGGAAGTGAAAGCTGGACCGTAAAGAAGGCTGATCGCTGAAGAATGGATGCTTTTGAATTCTGGTGCTGGAGGAGACTCTTGAGAGTCCCATGGACTGCAAGAAGATCCAACCTCTCCATTCTGAAGGAAATCAGCCCTGAGTGCTCACTGGAAGGACAGATCCTAAAGCTGAGGCTCCAAGACTTTGGCCACCTCATGAGAAGAGAAGACTCCCTGGAAAAGACCCTGATGTTGGGAAAGATGGAGGGCACAAGGAGAAGGGGACGACAGAGGACGAGATGGTGGAACAGTGTTCTTGAAGCTACGAACATGAGTTTGACCAAACTGTGGGAGGCAGTGGAAGACAGGGGTGCCTGGCGTGCTCTGGTCCATGGGTCATGAAGAGTCGGACACGACTAAACGACTAAACAACAACATATGCCACGTAATATTCCTAAGTGGTGTCTACTTTCCCCCCCTTGCCTCTTCCAGCTCCCACCCCCAGTGCCGCTTCCCCGGCCCGCCACGAGGTCTGAGGGACAGTGGACAGGCCCACAGCTTAAAAAATTGCTAACCCCTGGGCTAGATCTATCAATTTTCTGTCCACATTCATGGGCAAATCATTCGAATCGCTCAAATATCTTGCTTCAGGGTGACCTAGGTTGTCTTTTCCTCAAAGTTCCAACTTGCACACCATTGTCCTGAAATTGAAGCACCTTATGTTTTCCGTGTTCCTGAACACTGAACTTCAGAGCATACAGAACAGCTCCTTCTCAGTGTTCCTCCTGCGTGTCATCTCCAGAGTGACCCTCGGAGCCCATCCTCCATGGCCGACTCAACCTCCCTTCCCTCTGATTCGTTCCAATCGGCACAAAGGGTGAGAAGGCTGCTTCTCAGTGGCTAAAAAGCTCCCCTTTTGTGCTGGTTGTTTGGGGGCGCTCTAGGATGCTGGCACCCTCCCGCAGAAACAATAATGGCTCTTTGATCCCATTGTGACCCAGGACCACTTCTCCTCCACAGCAGAGAATGCTCCTTCTAACACCATTGAGGAATTCCTTCTTTGAGGCAGTTCCCTCCATCCCTAACCTCTCACGATCTTACAAATTTAGAAACTTCAGCCAATGCCTCTTCATCTGAATTGTTGCCTCTCTCAAAATGAAAACAACCATTAAGCCTTTCATAGCAGAGAAGGCACACATTATGGTGATTTTCCATCTCTAGCATAATAATCAAAACAATTAAATGAAAAATCAGGGCTCCTTCTAAATGTCTCCACCATCCACCAATTTTTCCCCCCCACCTGATTGCAAGAAAGCATGGAAATTTCAACTTACCAGAGTTGGAAAATGCAACAGCTCACTGGACTCGAAGTAGCGGGTTGGAGAAATGTGTGGATCTGGTCCCTTTTTTATACAGCGGCTGGTTATCCCGAAGGAAGGCGGCAACCTCCTCGAATGATGCACGCATCCAGACTAGCCTGTTGTACTTTCAGCACCTACAAGTGGACATTTCAACTCCTTTCTCTCTTACACACCTCCAATCCGTCACTATACCTGTCACTTGATGAACTCAGAGGGTTGTTGTATTCAACCTTGGACCTGCTCAGAGTAGACCCATTTGGGAGGAGGACCCAGTTTCTGCATTTCTGCAGTAATTTGCCATTAAAAAAAAAAATGTCCTGAAAATTCATCAACTTTTTAGGATGGATTTCTGCGAATAAACAAGTTTTTGTGTGCAATTTTAACTCTTGCACACACTTTTGCAAGCAATTTTCCAGAACAGAATGGCTTCTTTTTTTTCATTTTGCTTACACTGAAAGATGCATTTTTCATGCGCTGTAAGATGTGCATTTTTGTACATTTGGTTGGAGAAGGGCCTCACAGAATTCGGAGAAGCGCACATTTCAAAGGATAGATCTGTTTCGATTTGCATATTAGGCCCCAACTGCAATATAAATTTAAAGCACTATGATGCCACTTTAAACCCTTCTGGCTTTCCCCAAAGAATCCTGGGAGCTGTAGTTCGTTAAAAGTGTTGAGAGTTGTTAGGAGAATTCTTAATTCTTTGCCTCCAGGACTACAATTCCCAGACTGGTTTGACAATCAGTCCCTTGTCACAAGGAACTCTGGGATTTGTAGCTCTGTAGAGGGAGGGGAATAAAGGGGTCTCCTAAAAACTCTCAGTGCCCTTAACAAACTACAGCTCCCAACATTCTTTGTGGGAAGCCCTGGCTGCTATAGAGTTATCACAGTGCTTTAAATATATACTGTGCAGTAAGTAAAGTTTAAAGGTACCGTATTTTTCACTCTATAAGACGCACTTTTTCCCTCCTAAAAAGTAAGGGGAAATGTGTGTGTGTGTTATGGAGCGAATGCAGGCTGTGCAGCTATCCTAGAAGCCAGAACAACAAGAGGGATCATTGCTTTCGCTGCTCAGCGATCCCTCTTGTTGTTCTGGCTTCTGGGATTCAGAATAATTTTTTTCTTGTTTTCCTCCTCCATAAACTAGGTGCGTCTAGAGCAAAATATACGGCAGTTATGGCTGGCGCACATGAAAATACCAGAATTGGGGCTGATATAGAAAAAAAAGGAATGGCTGGCTCCTCTGTTTTTCTATGTCAGGGCCAATACTTTGCAGTAGGCTAGCTTGTCATAAAATAGTCCGCAGGCTGCCAAATTCCCACAAATGGTTGTTCCATGCTTTGCATGGAAAAGGTCCAGTGTTCATCGTCAGGTAGGCTTGGGTGAGAATCCTGTCTGAACCCCAGAAAGCGTAAGGCAGTTTCCTCTGTTCCTATTCAAAGCAGTCCTTTCTTCCTTCCTGAACCATGAGGACTGGTATCTCACTTTAAGGAGGACTGCCCTGGCTCAGTGGCAGGACACCTGGTTTTCCGTGCAAAAGTCCCCAGGTTCAATCCTAAACCGAGGGCCGTCTTAAGCATGTCCGGCGCCATGGTGCCCTCATCCCTCTGGCGCCCCACTTCCTGTTTCCCACAGTTGTCGACCTTTTCCCAAGCCTCTGCGGGGATCGCTCATCTCCCGCGGAGACTTGGGAGGCAAGCTGCATGCACGCCAGCCATATGGTTGATGGGGCGCAGCTGGCGGGCATGCAGGAGGGAAAGGGGAGGCCACCGGCAAAGCTCCCCTACTTGCTGGGGCACCCCTGAGAGGCTGGTGCCCTGGCGCAACGCACCAGTAAACCCAATGGGAAAGACGGCTCTGCCTAAACCAGACTCTGAAATCATCATTTGAAGGCCTTTTCCTTGTGCTTCCTCCAGGGGAGGTCCGGAGGATGACAACGCAAGAGCGGGGGTCTTTGAGAGCCAGTGTGGTGTGGTGGTTAAGAGCGGTAGACTTGTAATCTGGTGAACCGGGTTTGCTTCCCCGCTCCTCCACATGCAGCTGCTGGGTGACCTTGGGCTGGTCACACTTCTCTGAAGTCTCTCAGCCTCACTCAACTCACAGAGTGTTTGTTGTGGGGGAGGAAGGGAAAGGAGATTGTTAGCCGCTTTGAGACCTCTTAAAATGGCACCCCTGACCATTAGGTCCAGTCATGACCGACTCTGGGGTTGCGGCGCTCATCTTGCTTTATTGGCCGAGGAAGCCGGCGTACAGCTTCCAGGTCATGTGGCCAGCAGGACTAAGCCGCTTCTGGAGAACCAGAGCAGCGCACGGAAATGCCATTTACCTTCCCACCGGAGCAGTACCTATTTATCTACTTGCACTTTGACGTGCTTTCGAACTGCTAGGTTGGCAGGAGCAGGGACCGAGCAATGGGAGCTCACCCCGTTGCGGGGATTCGAACTGCCGACCTTCTGATCGGCAAGTCCTAGGCTCTGTGGTTTAACCCACAGCACCACCCATGTCCCTTAGGGTAGTGATAAAGCAGGATATCAAATCCAAACTCTTCTTCTTCTTCTCCCAATCAAATTTATCCACCTGAAGGTAGTTCCAAGGATGCAGAGGGAGTCTCAGCGTTGGTGAAGCGGTGTTGCTTGTTTGCAGAAGCCTGCCTGCCTTCCGTCCTTCATCCCATTGGGAGGAACCAACAAGGTGCAATTTTTGGCTATCATCATAGAACAGCGCTGAGAAATGCAACTCACCTTTCTCGAAACACCTTGTCTCCGCATTCCTTCCCTTTGAATGTTCTCTGCTCCCTCCAGCTTTGCCGAGAGGTGTTGGGGGTCTCTTGCTGCCCTGCCCTTGTTCACCATGTTTGGTGATTTCCAGACACTATTATTATTATTATTGGTCACCAGGAGGAGGGGAAACCGTATCGATTCCAGTTTCACAAGGTGGGTCATGTCATTAGGCTGGTACAGTTGTCACGGAGCGAGGAACACTATTTCTACAAAGCAAAGAACACGATTTCTGCATTCTATTTTGTTACGTAGAAACGGATTGCAATCTTAATAATAATAATAATTTATTATTTATACCCCGCCCATCTGGCTGGGTTTCCCCAGCCACTCTGGGCGGCTTCCAAAAGAATATTAAAATACTGTGATACATCAAACATTAAAAGCTTCCCTAAACAGGGCTGCCTTCAGATGTCTTCTAAAAGTCTGGTAGTTGTTGTTCTCTTTGACATCTGGTGGGAGGGCGTTCCACAGGGAGGGCGCCACCACCGAGAAG